AGCTCGCGCTCAACTTCATCAACGTGGCGAGCCTTGCACGTGAGAGGCACAGTGGAGGTGGAGTTCAAAGAAGAATGAGAAATTTAATGGTTTCAATCTGCCCTTGTTTTTTCTTTTTGTTTTTCTTTTTATTTTTGCATGTTATCACTGTGCCCGTTTTTTGCTTTTATTCTTTGTTCCGCAAAGTGCGCTCTTTTAGTTTGTAGTTATGTGACAATATATATTTTTTAATTTATTGTTTTTTGGCCCGGCCGGGCAAAGTGGCCCCGGGCCACTCTGGTAGCCTATGGCTCAAAAATAGAAGTCAGTCAAAGAGTTTATCACATCTTCGATGCAACACCTTCCTTCATTGTATACCAACAGAATTCTTTTTTATTTGCATTGCATTGCCTTTCCTTTTTTTTTTTTTTTTTTTGGCCTTTACTTTTTTTTTTTTTTTTTTGTGCCGTAAAGCTTGCACTTATTCTACACCTCTCTCAAGTCGTTTCACAGAGTCGAGCTAGAGTCAAGCTCAACAGGGTCTTCTTTCCCCGCTGATTCTTTGACACCAGCGTTCCCTTGGCTGTTGGTTTCACAGGATGGTAGATAGGGACAGTGGGAATTGCCTTGCCTTGCCTGACCTGGCCTTGCCCTGCCTCGTCTCTCTCTTTTTCAGTTTGGAGAATGAGCAGCCTTCTCTTGCTTTGGCTTGGCTTGGCTTTTTTTTGTTTTGTTTTTTTAATTAATTAAAGGAAAATTTGGACCTTTTCTCGATTTATGCGTGTCATCCTTGCGCAGGGGGGCCATGCTAATCACTCTTGTCTGTAGCATTCCATTTTTAACAGATGTCCTGACAGACTGCCCTGCCTTGCCTTGCCTTGCCTTGCCTTGCCTTGCCTTGCTCTTGCATTACTTCTGTCTCTTTCTTCTTAGCATGATGGAGACTCAGCACATCCTTTTCCTCCTTTGCCTTCCCCCCCCCCCCCCAAAAAAAAAAAAAAAAAAAAAAACCTAGCGGGCCCAGGCCCCCGAACCGCTGAAATCCGCCCTGATTCCACACACCAACAAGAGAGAGAGAGAGAGAGAGAGAGAGAGAGAAAAAAAAAAAAAAAAAAAAAAAAAAACCTGCTACCTTAACTTGCCTTAGCTTGCCTTGTCTCTGTCTTCTACTGTGTCGACAATCGGCAAAAAACCTGCTACCTTAGCTTGCCCTGCCTTGCCTTGCTTACTTGTTACCGACATCCTGTTCTGCAACACCAACTTGACCTGGGAGGGTTTTTTTTCGGTCCCCCCCCCCCCCMMMAAMMAAGAAAGACCCCTTCTAATCTGGGGGGCAACCGTCCGGTTACTCTTCCCTGACAAGCAGAACTCTAGTTCCAGTAAGAGAAAAGAAAGGGGTTGGGAGATTAGTAGGGCAGTTATTCAAAGAAAAAAAAGATGAAATTGATTATTTTACACGGGGTAAAAAAAGGATCTTTTTAACTTTGTCAAATTGGTCAATATTTTTCTCTGACTCCACTTTGACGCAAAAAATGTAGTTGGCCCCCCAGCTACTCAAAGAAAGACCAATTTGACGCTGTGCTGTTGGATAACATTTTTTAATTCAGCAGTCGGTACTTTCGAAAAGCACTTTTCTCCGGGATGGAAACGCGTTGCGCGCCAAAAAGAAAACGAACTCACGCGGGCCTCCTTTTGGCTGGCGCGACCAGTCATTTTGCCCCGGCGGCCGAGCCCCGAAAAGTTGCGGCAGCACGCTAGTCCCAACTTTGGAAAAGTGGCTGGGAAACATACTGGTGGTTTTTGAACAGCAGGTATTGTGCATGACTCAGGGAATACCTGGGTGTATCATGTGAAGGGTCAAAACAGCCCCAGGTGATATGGGCCAAGATCCCCCCATATGTCCGTTTCTCAGCCAGGTTCACTTTTGGTACATGCATTGGGGATAATGTAGACATGGATGTGGAGGTTCCTATGTAAATGTTCGGAACAGCTATGGAGGCACAGTGCCCACACTAGAAAATACCTGAAAACTCTTGAAAACACTTGAACACACCTGAAAACACTTGAAAACACTTGAAAACACTTGAAGACACTTGAAAACAAATGAGACCTTTTCAAAAGGGAAACAGCCCAGATCGTACACTTGAAAACACTTGAAAACACTTGAAAACACTTGAAAACACTTGAAAACTTGTCGTAATGGAAGCAGCCCAGATTGCACACTTGAAAATACTTGAAAACACTTGAAAACACTTGAAAACACTTGAAAACACCCGATGAATACTCGAAACAGTGGAGGCAAAAGGCCTACACTTGAAAACTCTTGAACACACCTGAAAACACATTGGATAGTAGGGAGATGAACCACGTGAACATCCTGTTTTTTTCTTTCTTGAGAGGGGTGAATGGAGGAGACAGCAGCGGCACAATGCATAATGCCCACACTCACCTTTTTCCTTCATGCTTCATCGTGTGGGGCATTTTTGTCAGGGCAGGTGGTTGGAGTTTTTCGAGCGACACCAGTGAAAGTAGCACCAAGGCAGCGCACCTTGAAATCCCTATATAAGGTATGCTTGCGCCCTTTTTCTTCTGCTTTGCTTTCCCTTTCTTTTGTGTGTGATTTTTCTTTCTATCATGTCAGTGAATACTAATTATGGATGGGAATGACCCCTCGCTCCCCTTTTATTGTTCACTCTGTTTGTTCTTGCTTATCTTGCCACTTCCCTTGGTCCGAAAGGATTCACTTGAGTATTAGTCAGGCCCTGTCGGGCCTCAGAAAATCTGGAGCCCTTAGGCCCAGGCCAAATTCGAAGAGTTGAGGGCCACGCAACCCTCACAGGAAAAATGTTAAAACGCTTCAGGGCTAGGGGCCCAGTTCCGAAGCTTCCCGTCGACTGTAGGGATCCAGTCCCGTTAGAAGTCAGCAGAGTCCAGTTTCGAGCAGTCGGAGGCCCAAGTAAAAGAAAGGTCTAGAAGTCGAAGTCTACCTGTTGGGCTTGAAGAGTCCAGAAGGCAAGTTGTTACTGGTCGGGCCTGGTACCAAAGGAAAAGTCCAGAAGTCGAAAGTCCAACCTTGCAGCAGCACCCAACGGAAGGCACACCAGTACCCAAGAAACATACAGTTGAGTGCACACAGGCCCCAGCGGCCGGTACCGGTGCAGGCAGACCAACCCAGTCGACGCAAGTATATAAGCAAGCACAGTGCCTTGACGATTCATTCAGAGTTGCATGTTGCGGAAGCACTGCGCGGCTTGTGCGACCATCTCGACCCTGTGCCTTGTGGAAACGAGGAGGATGGCGAGAAGCAAGTTGGAGGCGGCGAAGAGGAAGGCGGCCATAGCCGCTGGGGTGAAGAAGCAACAGGCATCCATAGCTTGCTGGAGACCAAGGAGCCCTGCTTGGAAAAGAAAAACGAAATCCTTGAACTGTTGACATGCAGACTTGAGTTCGAACTCCACTGAAAACGGACGAGTAAAAAAATACCATGGTTACCAACCGGACGTCCGGATCCCGATCCAGACAGTCCGGTGTCCGGTTCGGAGGGTCCGGTTGGACCCGATTTCGAAAAATTCGAAAATTGTTTTGGGGTTCCCAGGCCGTTTACCTGGGCCTGGGATACCCCGGAAAAATAATGCTGATGTTTTTTGAGAACCGGTACCCGAACCGGACAGGCCCTGAAACGGCCCTCCGTGTGATAACATTGCCACACGAGTTCACTACTTTGCTCTTATTTGGATGGAATCTTGGTGCATTTGAGCTCTCTGCTTGGCGCTGTTTTTTTTTTGTTTTTTTTTTTTGTGTCCGCGGACAACTGGACACAGCAAACCGGACTGTCCGGGTCTGGATCTCTGGATGTCAGGTTTGATCCAGACACGGGTCCGGTGTCCGTGTCCGGTCGTCCGGTTATCCGGGTCCGGGGCAACCATGTAAAATACGGTAGGATTCTGAATTACGGCCGTCAGTCGGATGATGTCTTTTTTTTTTTGGAAGACAACTTCAATATGCAAAGACTGTCGAACCAGTTGAGCTAGGGTGTCGCTCTACAACTCACCAAATGAGAATGAATCTTCTTTAAGAAGATGGAAAGATACACCACTTTGGATTTTGTGCATGTGGTGAGGAGTGGCACGAGGCCCTAGCCCTGGAGTGTTGGTTTCAGCTTTTTTTTTTCCTTTTTTAACAACTTCGGCCTCAGGGTCACATCGAAATTCTTTACCAAATTAAAAATGGGAAATTGTTGAAATGCCCCTGAAAGTTGGGGTATTTTGTCAGATATCCCTAGAAGGCATGGGTAGGGTGAAATGCCCCTGTGACAGTCGTGAAACTTTGCGAAATACCCCACTCGTCAATTGGACCTGTCATCTTTTGCATATACCCCTACTGGGCCTTTGACAACTTGTCTATATGCCCAGGCATTTCTGTCCTTCGGACCCTGCAGATGGCTAAAGAAACACACGGGCCCCTGCAGGTCAGTGCCAGGGCATATGGCAAAGTTGCCCATGACCGGGACAGGGGCAGATGCAGAAGTTTGGGGCATTTCGGCATACCCCTGTGTTTTAGGGGTGTCTAGCGAAATACCCCAACTTTTAGGGGTTCCCTCCCCCCCCCCCCATAATACCCAGCCCCTTCTATTCTGGGGGGCATCAGTCCGGTTGCTCATCACCGGCAAGCCTGGAAAAACAAAATACAGTTTGATTGAAAAGAGAAGAGGAAAGCCTTACCCTTGCGGCCCTAGACGCCTCTCTAGGGGGAGATTGCTACAACCAAAGGCCACTTCCCATACGATAGCCGTCCCAGGGACACCTCTGTTGGTTGGGAAGCTTCCTAGCAGCACCCAGTCACACAACAGACGAGTCCCCAGGGGAGGCCTGGGTCGGGGGGGCTGTTCTAGCAGTCTCACGAGCCTCTCATCGTGTTAAACCCTTCCTCAGTTTCCCTATTAAGAGCCTCTGGGCACCATCTAATATTTACATCCTCATACCACCCTCAAATCTCCACTACGCAGTCCTTTATACAACCTGCCCCAAGTATCTCTGATATTCTCAAGTGTCGTCTACGTCTAAACCCTATCAACTTTATGTTTTATGTTTTATGTCTATCCGGATGATATGTTTCCAACCTCACTCTTGCCTTATTTGCCCGCCCTCTTCTGAGGGCAGTAGGTTTCTCTTGTCTCATCATGGAGAATCCTTGCTGAACCCCTATGGCCAAAATAGGCCCCTTATTCTGAGTTAAACTAAAAACCGTCGCAAATGCCTGAAACCAGGTAGGCCATCCCTATTCTAGTGTATTTGAAACTACTTGAATCTTATCCCCAGCAGTATATTCAACAGCATATTCAACACTTAAAATATATCCCATGTCCCTTCCTCTATCATCCCCCCTTTTTTCCATTTTCCAATGTTAACTTGCCCTCCCATTCCTCACTACCCCCTACCGTCTACCCTCCTCTCTCTACGCCCGATTCCTCCCATTCCTTTGTAACCTATCTACCCTATCCCCAATCTATGCTATCGACTGACTGCTGCTTGKGTCCTCYGTGTCCAATCTGGGCACGTAGTGTTGCAGGGCCGGTCCAAACTGCAACTGTCCTGTAGTAAAGTCGTGCACCAGCATTTGCGGGAAYGGAGCCCATCTCTGCCAAAAGTCTGCCGCCTTGGCCTCCCCTGCGCGTCTACTTCGGTGCAGATCCGCCAATATAGCAATGCGAATATTCTCCAGTGCCCGCTCCTGATAGGCCTGAAGTGGCGGGGACGTTCCTTGCCTACATCGTTCATTTCTCAGTGTCCACAGAGCCCATAACACAGCTGCCCTCACGGTCTCTTCCACCACCATTTCGGCCATGGCCCGCCTACTTGCCTTGCCCAGGGTACCCAGCAAGATATCTGTGTCGGTCGTTTCATCCACCTGTAACGGTGTCTTGTCTGCCATTTCCTGCGCCCACCACTCCCAAAACTCCTGCACCCTTGGGCATCGAACAAAAAGGTGGGGGATCGTTTCCACCTGGCCGCAAGCTGCTGCACAGGTTTGGTCCTTATGACAACTCTTGGCAGCCTGCCACTGCACAGTTGGGATTGCCAAATGGTAAATCTGCCATAGCAGGCCCGCCTGCTTTTGGTCTGGCTAGGCAGCCATGATGTTGCATTGTTCGTTCCACTTTCGTTGAGTCCAATTAGCAAGGCACACGTCCGGGAGCCACTCCCGTTTAGCCCACCTCTCCTTCAGTTCCCCACAGATGTTCACTGATTCCAACAGCGAGTTGTAAACAATCTTCGTGGTTACCTCTTGGAGTGGCATCGATCTCCTGTGCGTCCTCYGAGGAGGCCATTCCCAATCTGCCGGGTTCCAGGCAAGGGCTCTCAACCGGGTTGCGGTGCAAAAGGGTAGGTAGTGTCCAGCCTCTTTCTTCCCTCCTTCACATACTGCAACCGTTTCCACCAGAGCTCGTGCTATTTTCCTCACAGCGTGCAGGTCCTGCAGTGGTTGCCCCAACCCCTCCCATCCCCGTCCCGGCCTGTCCTTCCATACAGTGACCTCCAGGTCCCCATTCGGCAGTACCTGCTTGACTCTATAGAGCCTTTYGGGTGCCTCACTCCCCTTAAGCTTGACCCACTGGCCTACTACCATCTCATCTTTTTTTAGCACTTCCACCCATTGAGTCGGAATAGCCTCTCTCATGTCCTTGACCCTTTGGACCCTCTTCATGCACCCCTGCAGTGCAAGATCCATTTCCTCATCTGTACGCCAATCCTTCCGATCCTCATCCCACAAATGTCCCACCTTGAAAATGCCCTGCTCCGCCCATTTCCATCCATAGGCCCCTCGCGCCCCCTGCCATGGGTAGGGGTCCCCTGCCTCGTCACAAATAAACCGATATCAAAGAGCAGCTGGTTAAAAATAGCATCCGCTGTGTCGGGGAGCCGACATCTCACCTGGATCTTCTTCCACAGGGCCAGTTTCTGAGTCCACACAGTCCCCCTCTGAATATGACCCATTGCGGAGCTGCTGAGCAGGCAGAGGTCTACCAGTTCCCTAGGGACCTAGAGAGCATAAGCAAGATGAGACAGCGTCACCTCTTGCCAAGTTGCCCCCTCCGAGCGCAGCAGGGCCCAGATGAGCTGTCGCAATTGAAGTGCAATTATCTGTAAGCGCGGATCCAGCAGGCCCAGCCCTCCAAACCTTCTTGGTTGAATTAGCTTACACCAGGCAACTCTGCAGATAGAATTCTCTGACCTCGCGTTGTTTGACCACAGATGTGCTTGGACCGCCCTCCTAATATATTGGAAGGTACGCCTCCCTGGCATATGAATTGCGCCCGTGTACCACAGGGTGGCCAGCACCGAATTCTTAATCACTCTAGCCTTTCCAAAAGGCCCCATGCTCCCTCTCGCACTCCATGCTTGCAGTCTTGCCACCGCCGCTGTGGCCCGTATCGCCATCTGCTCAATTCCTCCATAGCTCGGTGTTAGATTGCCCCCCAAAAATGCCATTCGCTCTCCTTCGGCCACTGTGGGAATGTCCCACCCTTCTGGAGGGTCAATCCCCAGAGGCAGAATGGCCCGAGACT